ATTTAACGAAGACAATCAAATCAAGCCATTTTATTTTATTTTTCAAATGCGCCAATGACACTAGCTATATATCTTGTTGGTAGAAGACAGACGTCTGATTTTGAGTTTTGGCCAAAAGTTGACAGACCGGTCCGTGAAATTGAGTCCGTGAGGTTTGACAGTCTATATATTCAGACCCAAGATAAGCATAACAATTCCGAGATTTACAAACACAAATACCTTATAACATTTAAAAAACAACGACTATCGGGAAACGCCCAATCCCGCAAAAAATATTTTCATCGAGCTTACGGGAACTTTCGTAACTTAATATTAACACCTAAAATACAAGGTCGTATTCTCTTATATCCTTGCTTTCTGAAATTTCTGAAGACATATATTGTCATAGTTGCATGTCATTGGCGGAGAATGCCCTAATCGAAATGACATTGTCTCTCAACTTTCCCCTCAGTCTACTTTAGTAAAAATAATGTGTTATTACTTGCTGACTCGTATGCTAACAATAGTATTCGAACAATAAAGTTAGTTGGTAAAAAACCGTTATGTGTTGTGCATGACTTCGATGTACTTGATTTAGCTGAAATGTACATTACTCAAGGTTACGCACATTTCAAGTAACAAAATTGTCGATTGTGAACATTTCTAAATGAACGTCGAAGATTTGACATCTCTTACACTCAACTATCATTTATCCGTTTTTGGTTATGCACAATTCAGCTCAATAGATTATTTTCTGCGCATGATTGATATTATTACTGCGAATCGGTGTGCAGTTACACGTATGAACCTATTTAAACAATAACCATATCTACAGAGTATACTCACATTTAGCAAGGTTCTAGAAACCTGCGATTTGATAATACGTGTGTGTTTATAGTGACAAAACCGTTATTTCCGATATCGCTCGTTTGTCACTGATCTAAATTAAATTATCCTCACTGACAATTACTAAAATTAAAACTGCTTACAATATCACCAAGATAAACCGTTAACAGACTTTATGACATGGCACTAAATCAAATGAACACATTTTAATTGCCATTCAGTGATTATAACTACCATTTCACTGCCCAGTTAGATTACCAGACACATTTCCCGTTTTGCAGCGTCAGACGTTCCCCATCTCCACCACAACAGAAGAGCTGAAGATAAGTGTACGCAGTACACAAGAGTGTATTATTAGACGTGCACTGAAGATAAATTTCTAGCTCGACTACACGGAGAAGTTTAGTATATAATTCATATGAAGTATTGGTTATAAATCAAATGACTGGCACCTAAGTACATATAATAACTCACATAATCTAACTCTAAGTGATTCACAATAAGGTTAGTGTCGATGATACTTAGAGCGCCACCAATGTACTTGTTTTCAAGTACTTTTGTTTCTATTTTATTCGTACGTCACACAGGAGAGGGAACTTCAGTTTGCTAAATCACGGTTCTTGTGTGTAAGTACAACTCTCAATTCACTACTAAGTATTTTAGTGTTGTGGTAATATATATCTTTATGTACTGTGTTACACCACAGCCCCCCCCCCGCCTTTCTAGTGTGTGCAAAGCGCGTGAAGGTGTTATAGCACGCAGTGCAGTCAACAAAAGCTTACACCATTATGTCAGGGTGTGACGATTAGACATGTTTGTTTATTGTTTTCACCTGTCGCTAAGAAGCAAGTGAATAATGTCGGAACTAAGCTAATAATAGGAAATAACTGTGTATAAAAAGTATCTCTTTGTTACGAACAATTTCATACTTCTGTAAAATTGGTTGAATGTATTTTTACAAACGTCTATAATTATTAGTATCTACTTATTTAAATAATAAACAACAAACAAACACACGGAAATAAAAACCCTGTAAAGAAAACCAGGGTATTTCCGTGAAGAATTACTGTCACCGCCATATTGTCCCAAACAGGAACGTTGTCAACTAAGTTGCTGACTGGTTTGTATGTCATAAGCACGTTCGTTTTCGTTGTCAGTATTTGTGTAAGTAATAACGCTATAAGCAATGTCAATAATTTGACATCGTGTATAATGTATTATAGCCGTGAGTTCATATGTCTTCATGTTCCCCTTTTAGATTTTCTATTTTATTGTGCACCGTGAAAATAAAAACAAATCACGAGAGTTACGAAAAGTCTCGAACCAACATTTAACTGTGTCAATAATACTCGATTCTATATTTGATGTGACCTCATGTTCATCGAAATCACAATTCAGCTTTAGGTATTTCTGTGACGTGTTTGGCCCGGCGCACACTGGTCGATTTTGTGACGATCATTCTATATTCCGAACGAACAGCGGCACACGTCACGACTGCAAACTACTTTAAAATGAATAATTTTCAATGGGTTTAAATTTCACTCAGGCTGATTTAGAATTTCATGCATATTCAGTCAGTTTTAAATTCAACCTTTTATCATTTAGATAATTTGTTCTATGCTCAATTTCACATAATCACTGGGTTTTATTTGCAGACAAAAATTGCACATACATTTTCAATTTGTTTGTGTTTTTTGATTTCAATTGTTTCATTCCACACAAGTTCGTGATTTAAAATTGTTCATCCATCCTCGTAATTATGATACTAACAATGAAAATACATTATTAAATTAGATTATGTGCATATCTTTTATTAACTTTGAGATACTGTCATACTTTTGTGTAATTGTTGAATTTTCCCGACGACAACGACAACGTTTCCGCCATGTTTTTGTTCAAGTAATCAAATTGGAGATCACGTGATAAATATAAACAAATTCAAATCGCTAATCGGCAACTCCAGTTGTAGTGAACGGATCGTAAGGTGTGTATTACAATAGTATTATTTGAATGTTATAGCCGCACATTTGATACACACTTTGCACGTCTTAGCAGTTCTATTATGACCAATTACTGCTACTTGCTGATTGAAACCCTAAATTAAATAACACATGGATGAAAAAATACAAAGTAACGATGTAAGATCTGTATAGAAAAATTCATGTAACAATGCAATATATCTCACTATTTTGCAGGGAAAATAATCGCTAAAATTGACACCAAATTGTAACCAAAATTGAACAATGTTATAATTATGCACAAAAATACCAAACTTTCAAAGACAGACATTCCCCTCTTATATATACTTTGAACATTATATATGATCATAGAGACAGGGTAAAAAACTGTGCTTATTCAACGTGACTTGTTTTTTTATCAATAGAATATTACCTTACAAGATGGCGACAGCTCCAATTCCTAGTGACTGGATCTACAATAATGAGACACTTAATGGTGCAAGACTTAGTGCACTTCTTATAAATAAAGGAACATGCGTAATAAGGAGATATTTCGATAGTCAATTTCCACCAAGTACATTACAGAACGAACTGAATAATACAAAAAACAGGAAAACGATTAACGATTTACTAAATAAGGCAAAAGTTCTTAATCAACGCCAATATGATCTTTTGTACCCACAAACTGGTCAGATTCCATCTTCAGCGAATTTTGACATTACATTGTTGTTTGTACTAATCAGAAACTTCTGTGGATTACAGCCACCTAATTGGTCAGGGTGGAATCAAACCCCTCAACCCAATGACAAATCACTCGTAGCTGATTTGATTCGATTAAAACAATTTCGCAATGAGTTATATGGTCATATTGTTACTACTGAAATATCAGAAGCGCAGTTTACCCAGTACTGGAGTGATATTTCAGACGTACTGATTAGACTTGGTAGTAAACAATCCGATATTGAGAAATACAAAACACAGTCACTAGATTCTATGGCCAGAATAGAAGTGTTAATAAGACTCATAGAACTCTGCAGAGAAGACCTTTATTTCTACGAACACGTAATTATTGGAAAATATGAAGAAATGGAAAAAAAAACTAATTGCAAAAATGGAAGGTAAGCAGCATCTTAGTTTAATTGCACTCTATTTTATATTTTAAAAACATTTTGTTATTATAACATGAGACACTAATTACAATACTAGTTTATGTTGTCCAGGTATTCTTCGCGTGACAGCGACTTTCCATATTTCAGTAAAACACAAAAAAACGACGATTCACGACAATCTGTGCTATATTTCTAGAAATGCGCCATCATCGTCTTTCGAAAATTGTGCAGTATAAATATAAAACTGTCGTCCATGGTGATCCAGGAGTGCTCCAGACTGGTAAATCTAATATCTTAATAAAACCAACAGAAGGTAAATTAATAAATAATAATATATTGTGTTAGATGTGTAATATTAGATAATAAAGCAAGTATACAAACTGTGTATTTGATAGGAGATTGCTCTGTTCCGCACCTATATATCACATTCGTAATTCACAGATACACAATATATGTCACACACACAACCGATTATTCGTTTGATGATGAACTGGATCCCTAGTTTATGTATATGAATTTCCGTTAACATGCGATTCAATTATTTCATAGGGTTGCAACAGGCTGAGATAACTGGACCAAGTCACAATAAGAACAAAACGAATCAAGGTCAGTCATTATGCATTCAGCTGTAAACTATAGTATATACAATACTCTGTGCGTGGTGGGATTGTTCGTTATAATACACACCTAGAGTAAACACGTGTGCATATATTTTGTCTCTGTGCATTGTTAAATATTGTCTTATTATAATTACATTTTTTCATCCATAACATTTTTCAGCAATATTGTTTCGTTTTTTTTTGGTGGGGGGCTCTGAAAACTGATTTTGAAAAGTATTCATAAATGTATTAAGAATATGTTTATAATAACCGATTACACGTGAATATTAAAGACACAACATAATTTGTTACATATAATCTCAATATTTTTCCATTTCATTGATCTTGAATTATAACTGCAAGCAACTGTTACTGATATTACTGTATTTCCCTCCATAAATGAAATAAAAACCACAAAAATTCTTAAATGTTTTTATTCTAGATGAACGAAATGAGATTGATGCAGGTGAAAAATGTGCAAAAGAGTTGAAAATCATTACAAGAACAAAATGAACTGGTTGGACCCAGTACCATGGTGTGAAGATGGATTCCAGCTACAATTACAGGATGTATATACACAGTTAGAAATCAATGAGAGAAATAAACAAGGCGTTGAAATCAAAGGTGTAGATTTCCAGGAGTGTTTGTCGCAAGACAATCCAACACATCGTATCTTAGTGGAAGGAGAACCAGGAGGTGGTAAGAGTACACTTCTTAGAAAACTAGCTTTAGATTGGGCTAATGGGACAAAACCAATGAAACGATACGATTTGGTTGTGTTGCTTGAATTGAGACAAATCACAAAACATAGCACTATCATTGATTTGATATTTGATCAGTTATTACCTGAGGATTCAAACATTGGTAAACAAAATTTGCACAATTACCTTAATAAACATCGGGACAGTGTATTAATACTTTTAGATGGAGCTGATGAATTGAAGGAATTATTTAAGTCTGAAATTATGAAAATAGTCGAAGGAAAGCTTCTCCGAGAATGTATTGTGATAATTACATCTCGGGCAATAGGTCTAGGACAACTCAATCGTCATGTTCACAAACATTATATTATCAAAAGGTTAAGTGTTGACAACATAAATTTATACATTCAGAAATTCTTTAACGATGATGAACAAGCAAATAAACTGACGAATGACATAGAAGAACGAGACATAGAATCTTTTGCATCAAATCCACTAAACCTAGCTCTTATTTGTATACTTTACGAAGATTGTGACAAAACGCTTCCAACAAAATTATCTGAGTTGTATTACCTATTAACTGTTTGTGCATATAAGCGATATTGTCTGAAAAACAACATCTGTAATCCATCTGATATCAGCATCAATGACTGTCCACAATTTAAAAACTTAATTTCAAGACTTGGAAAGATGGCATACAACGGTATAAAAGAAGGTAAAGTTCGTTTTGAGAAAGACATTTTGAAACATCACAATATATCTGACTCTGATTTATCAGTTGGGTTATTGAATCGGGAATACACCACTGCAAGGATTCAGTATCAACAAATTTATGTTTTCCAACATAAAACTATTCAAGAGTTTCTGGCTGCATATTATTTGCATATATCTATAAGTACTATTGGTAATGAGTGTATTGATTCTATTATAACGAACACAGCTTTTTATACAG